CCCCTTAGGATGGGGCTCCTGAAGGACCACTTTACTTTGGATAAAGAGTTTTTAACAAGCTGAAGACATAAATTCCTTCAGATATTTGGCCATTTTTTTTCTAAGTTTGTCTTTAGTCAGCCCAGAAATTTTGGGTCACAGTTAATTTAGCTATGATGAGTAGTATTGAGTTATGCTTTTAAAACAATTTGCTTGATATTTGAGTTCACTGTTTATTTTAAATTAAATTTCAGTTCCTTTAACAGTGACGGTTTTTCCTCTAGGCTGCTGAATGAAAATTCGTATGTCCCTCGTGAGGCAGGATCTCAAAAAGATGAAAGCCTTGCTTTTTTCATTGAGAATCAGTTCCGTGCATTTCTACTTAGCAAAATCTGGCGTGATGAACATTTTATTAAGATTCAGGTCAAAAGCAGGTATGTTGAAAGATGGTAAACTGATTTTCTATAAATAGCTGTTTTCAGGTGTGCTAATATAGCAGAGACTTTCAAAGTAAATAATGCAAGTCAAATGCTAAATATATTAAAGCCATTTAATTTTTTTCCCCAAGGTTGTCCTTAGCTTCAGCTTCACTTTAACTTAATCTTTTTTAGCAGTGCTCAAAACTCGGTGACCATAGTGGGCACGGACAGTGGCATGGTATACCTGGTGGAGAGTCCTGAGGGTTACGTGGCATACAGTAAGGCAGCGACAGTTACTGTAAGTAAGGCAAAACAATGCATGAGATTTTTTTCCCTACTGAATAGCTCAGAAACTCCTTGTCGTTACTTTTCTTACGATTTTGGTGTAAATTTACTTGTAAAATGAAAGTGATCATGAGATGCTCTTGTTCTCTACCCTCCTATGCCACAGTGAAAGTAAAATCCCAGGTCCTCATCTAGGACAGCAAGGCCCTAAGTCATCCTCCTCCTCTTTTCCTCCTTCACTGTGCTCTGGCCTCCCCAGCTTCCCTGGGTGTTCCTCAAGCTCTGAAACGCAGGCATGCTCCCACCTCAAGGCCTTTATAAAACTTACCTTTCCTTCTGCCGGCCCCACTCTTTCCTTAAATACCAACATGGCCTGTTCCTCATTTTGTGCAAATCTCTTCTCCACTTCTTCCCTTCTTTAGGGAAGTCTTCCTTGATTATCTTGTTAAAAATGGCCTTCCTCCAATCACTTCCCCTTACCCTGCTTTATTTTTCTTCATGGGACACACCTGACATTTGTTTCCATGCTAGCATGTAAGCTACACGAAGGGCTAGAGGTTGGCTTTAGGTACTGCTATGTCACAGAGCCCTGGACAGTGCCTGACACAGGGTGGTGTTTGCTGAAAGAATGTGAATATCAAGATACCATGTGGGGACAGATAGAAGTAACCATCTTGGCTGGAGTCTAGTCTTAGCTTGAATTTTTAATGCTTGATCTTTTGAAATTTAGGCAAATATGGCCAAACTACTACAGAAATTGAAAAACAGATCTATCTAGGTTTTTCAGGTGAAAAAACATGTTTGTATATCAGGGGTCTATCTAACGGATGCCTTCCCAGCCAGATGAAGTCTTACGTGTGCCATATCACTTTCCCTGCCTACCTACAAGCTAGGGGTTTGGAGGTGGGTGGACTTCTGGCCAAGAATATTGAGGGTTTGGGAGCACCTGGGGCACAGTCAGTTAAGCATCCGACTCTTGGTTTCAGCTCAGGTCTTGATCTCAGGGTGGTGAGATTGAGCCCTGTGTGGGGCCCCATGCTGAGCACGGAGTCTGCTTGACACTCTCTCTCCCTCTCCCTCTCCCCCTCCTCCCAACCCCCCCTTTCTCTCTCTCTCAAATAAATTAATTAATTAAAAAAAAAAACAGGGTTTTTGTTCATCCGCAAGCTTTCTATATTTGGATATTTGCTTGTCAATGTCAGTTTATAGCTCTGTTAATAAAATTTAGGAACATTATGAGACAGCTTTTATAAACATTTAAAAGTTGATTTGTGCAAGTCACTTTATTGTAGTAGATAGTGTTCAACAGTTTTCACACGGGTTTATTATCAGAACTTTCAGTTAAGACCCATTCCTATGTATGTCCTCAATTATCTAGCATTCAGATGTTAGGAACTTTATGTAATTGGTGCTGCCAGGGCTAGCCTACAGTATTTATATTGGTATGTGTCTCTTTGTTTATCATATTCTGTTTGCTTTTCTCTTCTCCCAAAATACTGGAAGCAATGTAAAAGAGATTAAATGTCAATAGGTCAATGCGAATTAGATTAAAGGCAGCATGTGATGTTACCAGACGTGAATATAGGAGGCCAGAAGTCTTGATTCACTCCTGATAACTGTGACCGGTTCGACTAGAACTCTCTTACATCCTTTCTAGGCTTTCATTTCCTTCTTTTTGTCTTTTTGTTTTCTCTCTTGGGGTTGAAATGTAAAACCATCCTGTCTCAGACTCTATGGCTGTTCTAATTACCATAATGCTCATTAACTCTCATGTCTTTATTCTAGGGTAGACTGGTCCATGCTAATTTTGGCACCAAAAAAGACTTTGAGAATTTAAAATCTCCTGTGAATGGATCTTTAGTGATCGTTAGAGCAGGGAAAATCACTTTTGCTGAAAAGGTGAGTATAAGTTATTGAGTACATTGGTATCATGCTTTTCTTCATTTAAATGGTATTGATTCTTTTTACATTCTGAAAACTGTCAGTCTTAAACTCTCAATACCTAATAACATAATTTATTAAAGTGTTCAACAAATTACATAAGTTCCAATTCTCTAAACTGTAGGACACTTGTAAAACTATGGCAGAGCCACTTGGAGTATTCTGCAGTCATTGTCTTTCAGTGAAAAAGAAGTAATCAGAAATGCTTAAGTGAAAGCAGTTTAAATTTAGAATGACAATATTCTGTTGTTATATAGGATTGTTAAATTATTGTTAAATTAAGGTGCTTTAATTGTTACGTTCTATATAACCCAGTTTTATGTATGTATAGAATTCAGTTCTATGTTTTATGAAAAGGAAAATTAAAAGTCAAAGCTCCATAAGCACCTAGAATGGAACATAGCAAAAGACAGTGGTTGTGTTGGATGGGTTTTTATTATTTGTCTTTGAAACTCCTTGATGAGTTAGTTAAGGCAAGAAGTTTGTCTCAATGTATAAGCTATTTGAAACATTGGGGAGTTTCAGTGCAGTCCTCTCTAACCCTTTGTCTTTTAGCATAAAGCCCAATGCATAGTCTTCTAATTTTGTGTGATTACATCTTCACTTTCTGATCTTTACATGTTTTCCTTTAGGTTGCAAATGCTCAAAGTTTCAATGCAATTGGTGTCTTGATATACATGGATCAGTCTAGATTTCCCATTGTTAATGCAGAGGTTCCAGTCTTTGGACATGTGAGTGTTTTTCTTAAGAAAATGAGTTTTTGGATTTTACAAATGTTGCTGGGTTCCATCTGTATTAGTAGTATAACATGCCTTCCTTAAATGCTCTTTTTTTTTCTGGGAGAGTCTAGCACTGACAAGAAGATGGATTATGTGACTTTGAGACATAGTTATTATTGCTAACGGAACCTTCTCAACAGTGTCTTGAATTGGGAATTTGGCATATGCTATATAAAAACAAGAGTAACATGTTGTAGAGCCACTCAGACCTTCAGGCTTTGAGGTGCTAAACTAAATTTAGGCTATACCCTTGTACTGAATCTGAATTTTCTAGGGATTTCTTGAACAAATGCCTGACAGAGCACATTATTCTTTTGTTTTACTAGGCTCACCTGGGAACAGGTGACCCGTACACACCTGGATTCCCTTCTTTCAATCACACTCAGTTTCCACCATCTCAGTCATCAGGATTGCCCAGCATTCCTGTCCAAACAATTTCCAGAGCTGCTGCAGAAAAGTTGTTTGAGTAAGTTCTTATTGGAAGGTTCTCTTATTTGAAAACTGGTTTTATGCTTAGAAAGGAATAGTAATCATTTCAGTTAATTTTATAACATTTAAAACAATTGGCTATAATTTTCCATATTTGGCATTTCATGGGGTGGATAGCTGTTAACTTGCAGATAAATATGAATTTTTTTCCTCCATAAGGTGATCTTAATAATTAGACATTGGATTTATAAACTCAGTGAGTCCTTGTTCAATTTACCCACTGAATTCCTTGTATACTGTTCCTGGCATAGCTTCTGCTTGAGGACTTCCTGAGGTAAAGCACTTTGTTGCCTATGGCAACCCATTCAGTTATTGGAGTAGGTCTGTCAGAATTCATGTTGAGCTGAAATCTTATTCCCTGTAACACCTATTAGTTCTAGAGTTTCTTCTTAACAACAGAACAATTCAAGTTTTCTAGTCCGTAGATTGAATATCTTCAGTTCTCATGACAGTTTCCAGATGCTTTACAGTCATGGTTAGTCCTGGATATCCTCCCTAATGTTTTAGTATCCCTCTTTAATAAGAGAACCCAGTCTGATTAGAGCAATTGTCATTAACTTTTATCTTGATCTGGACGTATTTCCCACCTGGTATTGGCACAGGATGTAGATCTAGTCTCAAGACACTTATGTGAACATTTATTTGCTGTGTGACGTAGAACAAGTTACTCTAACCCCACTGATCATGTTTCTTTGACTTAGATAGTTGAAATATATTCTACTTAACAGGGTGCTTGGTTTCAAATGAAGAACATCTACATGTAAGGATACCTGTATAATACTATGCGACTAGTAACAATGCTATCTGCGAAGCATTTTTAATAGGTGATTTTTATCGTTCTTACCACCGCTTACAAGTCTTCCCTAACCTGTGAAGCCAGCTCCCTATTTTGTTGTTCTGTTGTGGGGGGTAATAATGTTTTGACATACTTCTGTAAGTAGAGCAGTCATTGTTTGGATAACATGAGGAATTTGATAGGGGAAGATACCTAACTATTAGCAGCATGAAAATATTCTTTTATAACTAAGATAAGAATGTATACTGGTTAGTAGAGAGAGTGAGGAAACATGGGGATGTGTTTATGGGCTTGTATGCAAGAACTTCATTCTGGGTGGTCTTCGGGAGTGGGCCTGTGGATCTCAGCAGTCATGGCCAGCCACCTCGTGCTCTACACCGGTGCCAAGATGCCCATCATGGGGCTGGGCACCTGGAAGTCCCCTCCAGGCAAAGTGACCGAGGCTGTGAAGATGGCGATTGACCTTGGGTACCACCACATCGACTGTGCTCACGTGTACCAGAACAAGAATGAGGTGGGGTTGGCCATCCAGGAGAAGCTCAAGGAGCAGGTGGTGAAGCGTGAGGACCTCTTCATCGTCAGCAAGCTGTGGTGCACATTCCATGAGAAGAGCATGGTGAAGGGAACTTGCCAGAAGACGCTCAGTGACCTGAAGCTGGACTACCTGGACCTCTACCTTATTCACTGGCCAACCAGCTTCAAGCACGGGAAGGAATATTTCCCACTGAATGGGGAAGGCAATGTGATATCCAGCGACACCAATTTTGTGGACACGTGGGAGGCCATGGAAGAGCTGATGGATGAAGGGCTGGTGAAAGCTATTGGAGTCTCCAACTTCAACCATCTCCAAGTCGAGAAGATCTTAAACAAACCTGGCTTAAAATATAAGCCGGCTGTTAACCAGATCGAGTGCCACCCGTATCTCACTCAGGAGAAGTTAATCCAGTACTGCCAGTCCAAAGGCATCGTGGTGACTGCCTACAGCCCGCTCGGCTCTCCTGACAGGCCCTGGGCCAAGCCTGAGGACCCTTCCCTGTTGGAGGATCCCAGGATCAAAGCTATCGCAGCCAAGCACAAGAAAACCACGGCGCAGGTTCTGATCCGGTTCCCCATGCAGAGGAATTTGGTCGTGATCCCCAAGTCCATGACACCCGAACACATTGCTGAGAACTTTCAGGTCTTTGACTTTGAACTGAGCAGCGTGGATATGACCACCTTACTCAGCTACAACCAGAACTGGTGGGTGTGTGCCTTGGTGAGCTGTGCTTCCCACAAGGACTATCCCTTCAATGCTGAGTTTTGAAGCTCTTGGTGCCTCTTCCCCTCCAGGTTGAGTCTACAGAGTTGAAATAGTGCCACTAACGACTGGATGTTGGCTGCTGGGAACTTTAACCCTTTCATCCAGACTTCTTGCCTCAAATAAAAGTTGTTTTGTGGAAAAAAAAAAAAAAACTTCATTCTGAGTCCATCTTGGTATCTACTTAAAATGTAAATTATAACTGTGTCTCTGGCAGAAATGCACGTGTCAATAAAATCTTTAAAAAAAAAAAGGCACGTGTCAGATGAGGACAGGTAGAGAAATTTTTTTAAACACTGGTTAAACTTGGAGGTAACTGATTTTCAAATGATTGCCTACAGGTCAGAGTAAGATACAGATGGTTGGCCACCAAGAAGTAAATTTTGTATACATTTTCTTTATATGTCCTCCTAGCCTGGACCTTCCCTGGGCAGTAAGGAAGACTGATTTTGAAAGCCTTGGGGGAAGCAACAGTAACTCAGAACTCTGATGTCTGTTTTCTTCTTCTAGAAATATGGAAGGAGACTGTCCTTCTGCCTGGGAAATAGACTCCTCGTGCAGGCTGGAGACTTCCCAGAACAGGAATGTGAAGCTCACTGTGAACAATGTGCTGAAAGAGATAAGAATTTTTAACGTTTTTGGAGTTATTAAAGGTTTTGAAGAACCTGGTAAAGACCCTTGTTTTTGTTTTGTTTGTTTGTTTGTGTTTTCCTAGTTCTTAAGAATGTGGCCAGAAGAGGGAAGAGGGAGTGCAGGAAGGCTGGCTTTGGCTTGGTTTTGTGGAATGCTAACTCTTTTCTGTCCTAAAGCGAACTGTTTAGGTGTCAGTTTTATTGGGAGATAATAAGACCCTAGGAAATTAACTTGTCAAAAATTGACCATTAAGATTAGAAAATGTTTTTTAAGTTATTGAATAGAACAGCAGTAAGCACATTTCTTCTCAAAGGGGGCAGATAATAAACCTGTTGCAGGCTATCAGTCTCGGTTGCAGCTACTTAACTCCAACGTGGCAGCGTGAAAACAGCCATAAATGATACGTAATGAATGCGCACGCAGGCTGTGATTTACCACTGACCCCTTGAATAGGCCATCTGTTTATGTAGAATCTAATAGTCATATCATTTAGTAAAGAAAGCCCGTGGGGGGCACCAGGGTGGCTCAGTCGTTGGGCGTCTGCCTTCGGCTCGGGTCGTGGTCCCGGAGTCCTGGGATCGAGCCCCGCGTTGGGCTCTCTGCTCGGCGGGAGGCCTGTTTCTCCCTCTCCCGCTCTCCCTGCTTGTGTTCCCTCTCTCGCTGTGTCTCTGTCAAATAAATGGATGAAATCTTTAAAAAAAAAAAAAAGCCCATGGATTTTGGTTGCTTATTAAACTATTAGTGGGCACTAATAGGTAGCCGATGAGTAAACTTAATTGGTAATGTGGAAAGAGTAGCAATACTAATAAGGAAAAAGAGATTAGCATTGTCATGTGAATTTTTAATTTCTGGAGTCCTAAGTCAGATATGAAATATTTTATTTACCCTTAGAGCATATACTGCATTTTTACCCTTTTTACTAACATGATTATTCTAGAGTTCAATATTAGAAAACAGTTTAAAAGTTGATTGTATAATTTATCTTTTCTTTTTCTTTTTAAGATCGCTATGTTGTAATAGGGGCTCAGAGGGATGCCTGGGGTCCTGGAGCTGCAAAGTCTAGCGTAGGAACAGCTCTCCTATTGGAGCTTGCCCGGATATTTTCTGATATGGTCTTAAAAGGTAGAGTACAAATTTTGAGAACTTGAATATCTATGTGCTATGTATAGTTCTAAATATTATATGATTTCTCACTTTCGCCTATATTATTATGGTTCACTTACGCTGGGCTCTGAGTTCTTAGGTACAAAGCAGATCATCTTTTGTTGGATCTGCCTTTGACTGAAACAGCTTTCCATGCAGTGTCTTCATTGCATTGGTATCAGCTCCTTTTTGAGACACCAAAAAAGTATTGTATTGGACCCTAATTCTTAGTTTGACATATTCAGAATGATATGGCAAATCTAGCATGGTCCCTAAGGAATCTATTTTAAAGCAAGCAGCGGTATACCTCTGTACTAATTTTCTATAATTTTGTTATAAAGTTATAGTATGTAATTTTATATATTATACTTAGAATACTAGGTATGTTCATATATATTTATAATATATAAACACTTTCAAGCCTCTCTCCCTTGGTAGTTGGCCATTCCTCTACACATACCCCCCCCCCCCCACACACAAACCATCACCTTCTTGAATCTTTGGGTCAGAGGGTAAGTGGTAGTGCTTAAGTTTTATGCAAAAGTATATAATACAAAAAAATACATACCCAAGGAAAGGGGAGGAATGGAGGGCAGTGGTACATATAGTCCCAAAAGGAGCTGTCATTAATGTAATTCCTCTGAAAACTCTTTCTTATAACTTAAATGTGTGAATTTGTATTCTATTTCATAACAATTGTTTGTGGAAGTAACCCAGCTTTTTAAGTGATTGACCTCTACGCAGATTGTTTTCAGAGAAGGTACACGTTGTAGTTGCACCATGATTTCAAGTATTTCTTGGTCCAGATGTTAAGGGGCTCGAAGAATGGAGTTTGGAAAAAAGTGACTTCCTATAAAAACTGGTCCCTACCATGTATTTGAAATCTTTTTTGCAAATGATCTCTTATCCTGTTCTTTGTAGATTACTTTTAAAATTTATTTTTATTCTTTCTGTTGTTGTTCTTTTACCTGGGGCCTCAAAAGGGAAAGAAATAGTTTTTAATCTGCTGTCTTGAATTAGAAATTTCTGATCTCATCTTAAGTCAGTTGCCTACCTGTAACCTGTCCTAAGGTAAAACAACTTTTTGTTACCTTTTAGATGGCTTTAGACCCAGCAGAAGCATTGTCTTTGCCAGCTGGAGTGCTGGCGACTTTGGAGCAATTGGTGCCACTGAATGGCTAGAGGTATTATCTGTACAGCACCCATACCCAGAATGGGCAGCTGAACTTGTTTTGGCTTAATTTGTCCTCCAGAAACCATACTCTTTTAGATTTGATTACAGTTGATCCTGAACGACACAGGTGTGAACTGTGCGGGTCCACTTATGCATGGATTTTTTTTTTTTATATAAATACAGTATAGTCTTCTAAATGTATTTTCTCTTTCTTAGGATTTTCTTAGCATTTTCTTTTCTCTAGCTTATTTTACTGTAAGAATACAGTATATAATATAACATACAAAATAAGTGTTGATCAACTATTTATGTTATTAGTAAAGCTTCCAGTCAACAATAAGCTATTCGTAGTTCAGTTTTGGGGGGTCAGAAGTTATACGTGGATTTTCAGTTGCGTGGGGAGGGGGGTTAGTGCCCTGACTCCCACGTTAGGGAGGTCAACTGTATATATCATTTTTGCCTTTGTATATTTAATCTCAATAGACTCTAAATTTAAAAAGATGCCCCTAATAATAGCTGCTCCATGTGACAATTGGATTAATTCATATTAGTACATTTAGTATTTTTCCTTCTCTTTCAGGGATACCTTTCCTCCCTGCATTTAAAGGCTTTCACGTACATTAATCTGGATAAAGCTATTCTTGGTAAGTATCCTTTTCATTAGCTGTTTATGAATTTAGATAAATTACTTATAAAACAGAAGAAAGCTTTTTACAGCAACACTCATTATTTTCTATAATTTACATTGTCCATTCCCTGATTAAGACTGACTTAGCTTTCTCTTAGTAGTCCATTCAGTTGTAGAATGGGTGCAGGTTGCCTTGTTGAATGCAACAGATCCCAGTGTGGTCCTCAATTAGCAGCATTCGGATCACCTGGGAACTGTTAGCTGTTAGCAATGTAAAATTTCAGACCTTTTGAGTCTGAAACTGGAGTACAAGTCCAGCAGGCTGTGTTTTAACAAGCACTCAGGTGATTCTGAGGCACTAAAGAGAACCATGAGCTGGATTGTTTTTTACACCAGAAGGAACTAAACCATACTGTATAGAATGGTATTTCTAGGGACTAATTCACATCTAGCTAGATGGTGTCATCAGGAACAGAAATACCAGATAGTCAAACTGCTAAAAGAATTTGAATGTTACTAAAAGTGCAGAGGTAGCCAGCGGATGAACTGAGAATAGTAAAATATCGCATTGGAAAGAAAAAGGAAGGAGTTAGAATGGAACTAAATTTGCACTAGATTCATCGTTATTGTCATCTTACCCAGACGGCAGGATGTGCGGAGTGTGGCAAGTAGACGGTGGCTAGCAGATAACTGCCCTGATTAGCTGAACTAGAAAGGCTCCGGAAACAGTCGTTAACACTGTCATCTGCCAGCTCAGGACTAGGAGCTTCAGTCGAGTCAGATGAGGGCTAGCAGTTACTAAAGAAGTTGGCTCTTAAATCACTGTTTTTCTCTAGTTCTCGAAGAGGATAGTTGTATTTGGCCACTCATCTAAGTCATCGTCTTCCTTTTTTGTTGAGTACTTTTGGTTGTAGAAGCTGCCATGTGAAAATTACTTGACTAGAGAAGGGGCAGTGTTTTTAAAATAATCTCTTTGCAGGTACCAACAACTTCAAGGTTTCGGCCAGCCCACTGTTGTATTCGCTTATTGAGAAAACGATGAAAGATGTGAGTATATACCTAATTACAAAATCTGTAACTTGCTTTTTCATCTAATTTACAATAAGATGGAAAATGACATTTAAACCATCATAAGTAACCAAGTTTTGCAACTGGGAGGAATGAGATTTGGCTCAATGGGCTTAGAGGCCATATACATTGGTAATGATTTTTTTTTTTAAGGATTTTACTTATTTCCTTGAGAGAGCACAGAGGGAGAGGGAGAATCAGACTCCCTGCTGAGGATTCTGAGATCATGACCTGAGTCCAAGGCAGACGTTTAACCAGCTGAGCCACTCAGGCGCCTCTGGAATGATTAAAGACAGAACAAGCGTCAGAGAACTTGACCTCGATCCTATGGGAAACTAGGAATTGCTGTAGAGTCTCCAGCAAGGCAGTGTAATGTGTTTGCAGGTTAGGCTGCAGTAGTATAAAATGAGCTACAAGGCAAAAAAAAAACCAAACAAGATAGGCCTATCATGAAGGCTAGAAAGGGCTTTTAAAATTGCGGCTAACCCACCTT